AAACCCTAAAACCCTAAAACCCTAAAACCCTAAAACCCTAAAACCCTAAAACCCTAAAACCCTAATAAAACCCTAAACCCTAAAACCCTAACCCTAATTTAATTATATCAGGTAATCCTACCAGGGGGGTGGACCGCATAACTGTCAAATATAATAATTAGAAGGCTAAAGATAAGCATGACTTGTGTTTGTAGATTCGTGCATCCTGTATGCATACTCCATTAAAGTTCCCGGTAATAAAGATAATATCCCTTGTAGATGTATTGCTTTTAATTTGTGTTTTATATCATATTTATAAGAGCTGCTGAGCCCTTATCGAAGCGGACACTTTTCATATAACTAAAGTATCATGCTTTGTCAGGATGTCAACAAGCTGGGGAAGTGGAACCGTGGGGCCTGGGCTGAGAAGGAGCATCCTAGGGGAAGCAGTATGTCACAATCCAGGCTGGCCGTATAAAGCTATATCTTGAGCCGAATGCCAAATTCCCAATAAAAACTCAGATTCTTCGACCAGCCTTTTCAAGGCATGTCTATATGCCTCGTAACATACCGAATAGGCCGTCCATGCCTGCGTGTAAGTCTCTCATATGCAATCTCCACTCATAACTGTCCGTGACGGAACGTGGCACAATTTAATCAAACACCGTAATAATAGTTGATGATCATGAGCTTTGATGTCTTCAAGCTATACTTTAGTATCATAGCTAGATAAATCAGTTCAGAAGTGTCTTAGCTTGTCGGCACTGATGTCAAGTGACTACTAAGATCTTTGCATATCGCAATTACCTTCTACCGGTAGAGATTGCGATTTGTAGCAATAATGCCAATAACATGATATCACACGAATTTTTAGATGTCAGTTCCTCTGGTGCCAGTGAATTCCGGACCCAACCACCTCCATCGTCCGTCCGCCTTCAGTAAGCTCTGCCGGCTCATTTCTTAGCCTTTCCTGCCTCGTTTGAGGAAAAACTTAAGGAAACCATAGTAGTTCGACCGGCAAAACCCGGACAAACCACTGCCACAACCAACAGAGAACCATCATAGACGACACAGATATCTTAAATAATTCTTCGAGCTAATTTCACTCAGGGCCCAATTGGATTATTTTTATCCCACACTTTCCTACTTATGGGGAGACCCAGTCAGGTCTCATTCGATCAATTCTAATAGCTTTATATATTTCTAAAGCTTTCATGCCGCATCACTCTGGATAAGGCATGATAACTGTGTTTTCACCTAGGAGACTGGACTTTGTTCAAATAAGCGACTATACCTCCTATGAAGGATATGATATATTGAACCTTCCACACTCATGGCTAGAATATCCCCTGTCAATGTTCCTGCGATAGAAGTACTTTACGAAGTAGAGATGAACAACTACCCGAGACCCTTATTGCAGGCCAATGTGGGTATTATGATAGAGCTTTCTGGTACAATACATTACAAGGTCGAATGATCGTTATCAAGTGCCAGTTTAGCGTCTATCGACGTCGGAGGTTTCCCACTGTTGCTGAAAAAGAAGACCTGAAGAGCATGAGTGGTGGCACCCGGGTTCAGGAATAATGCAGGAACCCACTACTATAATAAAATCACTGTAGACACTGATAATGATTCAAGGCTGCTGATTACCTTGATTCACAATCATAGGGTATATTAGGACAGCCCCGGGTGTACTTGGCTGCATATTGCTGAAGCAGAGTAGTCCAAGGTATAATCGAGATTTAACATTACCAACTCTACCATAGTAAATAGTAATATAAATATATTGAAGATATCTCTGTGCACGATTCGAGACACTTGATGGTTGCTCATAATGTGGTTGTTACATAACAAAGCCATCATTGTTGGTAGACATGAACACAGCAAACTCTTCTCGCTGTACTAGAAAGGTTCAATCCATGTATCATAAAGTTGTCCACGACGAAGTTCAGGGAGACATGTGATAAAATCGCATATGATTTGCAATTTCCCACCATTCATTTAATGGTTCATGGCAAGCAGGGTCGGGGCATCGAGTACACGCGTAGTGTACTCGCCTAATGTGGCGTTTAAAGCTGAAGTCGGATTTGAACGGCTTTTCTCGCACGCCGTATATTGAGCAAAGAAGACACTCCAGTGGTCGTATGGTAACACACTTGTTACCTAGGCCTGCTGCAGTCCACCCTGGAAGCCCCTCACTCGAATGGATAGCCCTCAGACGTGACGTAAGGCTAGGACCAATCTGTGACACTGCATCCACAGCTGCAATTCTACAGTTTGTTTCGTCTTGTTCCGAAGTTGGCGCGAAACGGAAAAGAATAACAATCGCTTTCTGTCTCTCCTGGGAGAGGGCAACATCGTCACACACGTTGTATGTTTCCAACGGAAGGCCATGAACTTGCCGAATTACATCCTGAACCGGTTGCTCCTCGTTAAACCGGGACCGCATTTTCTCCTTCATCTCGCGACGAGATGCCTGAAGTGCGGTATAATACCTCGTTCTTTGTTTCATTGCTTCAGCATACAGGGGTGTTCCTGCAGCGCTTGCAAGTGTTCCGTGCTTCCGCTGAATTTTCTGCTTGTATTTGAGCCAGCGTTTCAAGCGACGTCTTACTAAGAGATTGGCTCTAGCTTCGATTTCCTCCGCTCTGCTAAGGTCAATGGGCCGTCGCCGGTCTATCGATCGACTTTGGCCACTGGCCATTCGAATGATCATGACCTGTGGCTTGAGTTGTCTCCAGGCGGCATTAAAGTCTACCGGTAGATAGTCAGGTCGGTAATTCTTCTGATATACCGATCCAGATGCATGTTGCAGTAGAAGGTTCTGTTGAGCCTCACTAATTTCGCCTGATGAAAAGTTAGTCATGCCTCTTCCATGAACAGTATCTCAAACACTTACAGCTGCTATTGGCCGCTTCCCCTGCGCCCCGCCGCAGCCAGTAGGGAGTGATAGGGAGGTTGAACCCGGTAATTTCGCCGAGTCTCCTGAGCCAACTGTTTAGGGTCCTGGCGGAGATATCGAAAAGATATGCATCAGGGTCAGCCGGGCGAAGGGTGAGCGAACCAGCACATTCAGACACTTGTAACGCATACAACTGCCTGTCAGAACTGATATGGAGATGTCGAAAGGCAGACTTGCGCATCAATAGCCCGAGAAACAATGTCTTGGGACAGAACAGCAAACAAGGCTCACTTGGGACTTCAGGAATACCTATTTCCAGGCTGTATCTGTTAAACTGGATGTTTGAGCACTTTGTACAGCAATTAGGAACATACCATGGCTTCTTTTTACCCCTATATCCTTTAGTGTTGCGCGGTTTTACTTCCAGAACCATGTGAGGTCTGTCTCGGCCGGTAGGAAATAAGGTAATCGCTACGTCGGCATGCTTTAAAGACACTAGTGCCCCGGGTCGTTGTCCAGTTATTCCGGCCAGAAGAATAATCAGAGCAAGCTGTACTGGGTCCCATGGTTCGGTTCCGGTTGTCCACAGCACCTTCAGTAATTCGAAAACATCTTCGGATCGCAGTATGGGCTTTTCTTTTGATTCTGTCCGAAGTTTATGCTTCTTCGTTAGTTGATCTCGGACCTATGTAGTCAGCCCTCAGTAAGGTGCGTGAAGCATGGATATGGGACCTCATACCCCAACCATTCCATTTTTGACCTGCGAGGGAATTGTCAGACCCGTCTTCTCTCTTCTGAGTTGCGTCCAAATGTTCCAGTACGTCTGCAAGGTTGATGCCGCCTTGATATACCGACGACGAGTGGTAACTGTGTAGTCAAAGAAGGTATATAGTGTTTTTAAGCTTGGTGGATCAGCTCTTAGCAATTCCAGTGCATCACGCCTAGTTTCCGCGCAGAATCTGTAACCCACTTAGAGCCTTACGTCGATAATGCGCATCAGTATGTTCCTACCGGCACCAGAGGTTCCACACTCTCTTCTGGAGGCGAATCGTGTCATCGTCATATTGCCGCCCTTGGATAATGGAGTCGTCTAGGTCTCTCTCCTCTTGCAGCCAGTCACGTTGAGTACTTCGGCCCAGGTTGATAACAAGCTCATGTTCTGGCGAATCACTTCTGCTATCGTCGTTATCCGCACCTTCATAGGCCGGTCTATCTATTCCGATTTCCTGGTGCTTTTCAGAAATGTCGTATCTCCTGTTATCACCATCGCTATATTGGTGGCGGTGCAGTTGCTCTTGGAACTGAGTCATCGTAGAGATGTCCATCTGCCTCCTCTGTATAATTAAAACGCCAGGGGAGATTTGGAACGGCAGGCAAGCAAGTGAAAGATAGGGAAGGGTAGGGTAGGAAATGGTAGGGGAGGAGAGATAGAGAAGGATGCGCGAGGAAGGAGCAGGGTAGTTGGATGTCAAGCAGGTGCCAATAGGGAATTTCTCAAGTGAAAGCCAAGGGCATGTGCATCACGAAATGGGAGGAAGGGAGCCTGGAGTGGATGTCTCATCGCCTGGTTGACTGAATTTTTCTCTGTCCGAAGAAGGCTGGAGAGAGCTTTTGGCCCTTTATATGTCTTCATAACAAGCAGGAACATAATGCCTGGCCGGCCAGGCCAATACAGTAGGTTTTGCCACCCCCTGAAGAATCGTCGTGTGGGGTGCTGTATTGCTGAGGAAGATTCATATGGGTTCTGCGGATTTCAGCAGAGGGTGGAATGGCCGACATGAAGTCCACGATGAATGGTTGCCCCAGCTAGAGAACGCTGGTAGGCTCCACGTTACTTTGTCGACTGAGGGCTCCCGTCCACCCGCACGGTGGGGAACCGGGGTGGGCCGCCATGAGGATAATTCCAAGGTAACAATCGAAATAGAGTTAGAGCGTCGGTGTCGAAGGACCGTAAAAGCGGCATTGCAACAACCACAAAAGAGGTAGCTCTTTCACCGAAGTGTTGCTTTATTTTATAATTTATACAGTAACTTGGAATACTCGGAAGATAGAAAGAAAAACCAGAACTGATTATAAGATTAAATAAAAAGAATCTGGAAATTCTTATATTAATAGTTAAATCAGGAACTGTATCTATAACTATAATAGATTACTTTGAATATATAGATTTTAATATAATATTATTAAAATAGTATAATATTATATTAAGAATTCCATGGCTCAGAAATCATAATTTATAAATTAATTAGAAGACTGAGAGTCTCTAATTTATAAATTATAATTATTTAAAATAATACTATTAAGAACTAGATATAGAATCTGAATCTGTATAATCTACTGTATAGTATAAGATTAAAATAAGAACTAAGTAATCTATAAAAAGATTAAAAATACCACAGAAACCTAATATACTAGATACTATAGAAAACTTAGAAGAAAATAATATCTCTGAGATTATAAAATAAATATTAGCAGTAATAAAACCATTGTAGATTAATAAGCTAGTATATCTACTGGAATAAATACTAAATATATTATAAGAATATTATAAATTATATCTAAGTAGTATTAACAGAGATTAGACTTATATATACCAGACTATAGAACCAGAGAGCTAAGAATAAGAATTTAAAACTAATAATATAAGATAATAAGAAACTCATATATAGAAATATAAATTTAATAATATAGATTAAGAAATTTAAAACAGACAGAAACCTGAGCATATTAATATAAAATTAAAGAATTTATAAAAACTTCTAGCTGTAACTAGAAGTAACCTATATATTCTACTATAATATAAAAGATTTAAGAATCTATTTAAACAGCTGGAATAATCTGAATTATCTCAGCACAGAAAGCATAATTATACTATTTCTATTAAAAAAGAAAAATTACTGGTATACAAAAAAATTTATCTGATATCTGAAAAGAAATTACAGGCGCTATAAGAATATATTAATAATTAATTAATTAAAAATAATATCAGACTGTTAAAGTTACCTGTAGAATATAGAGTTCTATTTATACTAAAAAAGAATAATAGTTTACAGCTATATATAAATTACTAATTATTTAATATAATTATAATTAAAAACTGATACTCTTTACTTTTAATCTCAGAAATCTAAGATAAGATATAAGAAGCGAAGTAGTTTACTAAACTTAATATTATAGATATATATTATTATATATATATTATAAAAGATAAAGAATGGAAAACTGTATTTAAAATAAAATATAAATATTTTAAATATTTAATTATATTATTTAGGCTAACCAACGCACCTGTATTATTTCAGTAATATATTAATAAGATATTAGAAGAATATTTTAATAGATTTATAATTATTTATTTAGATAATATCCTAATCTTCTCGAAAACTGAGGAAGAGTGTTACGGACCCCTGCTAGTTAACTCACTAGCAAGGCGGACTCGCCAGGCAGAAAGCGCCGATAAGGGCAGCGTTCGGGCAGAGCTAAACTGTTATTTAGTAGAATTCCTGATTACCCCTACGACGCCCAGAACGGCCACGCATCACGTGACCACGGTATACACATAGATATATAGTATACGGTATACCATCCTGGTCTATAACTACCATAGCGGTATATGACAGACCTAATGGTATATAATATAGTATACAGAGAATAGGATATATAAGAATACTCTTTCATATACTTAACTAGTTCTATTCTTCATACTTAATAATACTGTCTTTAAGTAACTATATATTTGGAAACTTAGCCACAGAATACTCGTCTGTATTTACTTATAAATAATTATATAATACTATTCAGTCTTACTTCTCTTTTCTTATCTAAGACTAGTTATTTTTAAATAGATTATCAGCCTGATACCACCTCGATCCAGTTCGATGGTATGTATACCAGTGAAGCTAAGCTAACAGAAACAGAAAAGTAATCCTAGAATTTAATATATTAAGTACCAGTCAGTACGAGTGTTTGCTGTATAACTATTTATTATATCAAATAACTTAAGCTCATTATGTACTCCGCAGCAGGGCTCCAGTGCCCAAGAAAGAGATTAACCACATATACTAACAGTACAGAAATTAATAGATATAATTAATCAGTTATAAGAAAGTATTACCGCCTTGGAACAACAAAACCAGCTGCTTAAAGATTACTTGGCAGTCAAATCTATCAAGATCTAATTACCGGAACTATTTAATAATAACTGATCAAGATTTAAAGTTTTCTTGACCTAATTAAACTTGTATCTTAATATAAATAAGAAAAAACTTAGAAATAAGATTAATAAGATCTTCTTCACGTCCACCTATCTAATTAGAACGGCGTTTAATTGATTCAAACCATATATTCGCGACTACCAGGAAAAACCGGTAGGAAAACAGAATAATAATACTAAGAAAATTTTTACTAATTATATCAGATTCAAGAAACGTCTCGAATAAATATTCAGAGATATCAACGCAGCACGCAACGCTGAACAAAAGCTATGGCAACTTAAGTAAATTAAATCAGTATCTAAGTACATCTCCGAGTTCTTGCAAATCATCAATTATCTGGACTGGAACGAGGACGCCTATATCACATGATTCAAGAAAGAACTCAAGATAAAGATTCAAGAGAAACTTATCTAGCAAGAGCAGCCAGGAATATTATAATAAATAATTATAATAGCAGTTAAGATTGATAACAAGTTATATAAATATAACATGAAACAGAAAAAAGACCGGTGGACCAGTAAGTCTATATCTTAATAAAATAACTAACAGGAATATCGAGCTAATGATAGACAGCTAGTATAGTCTAGAAATTTAGAATACAAAGATTCTTACAGACCAAAACCAATAAAGCTGGATGCAACGCAGTATCAGACTTAATAGAACAGAGTCTCCAAGAAGAAACTTGAAAAGTATAAAAAAAACTACTTATACTTTAACTGCAGCAAAGCAGGTTATCAATTAAAGAACTGTAAATAAAAATAATAACAGTCCTAGAAACAGCTGAGAGCCATTAAAAACCAGGTTAGAGAAGTCTATAATATTACTGCCTGTTTACCAGGAATATGGACGGAAACCGTGATACAGATACCAGGTAGTAAGAAGCTACGTACCACGCAACAAGAATAATTACTAATACTAGTAAGCAGAATATACCAGAACCGGGTAAGGTAACAGGCTACCATAAATAAACTAACAGTACTATCAGAATCACGAGAAAATTACTGACTATCCGAACTATTTAATTAGCCCGCAGAAGTCAGTAACAGCAATGAGCCAGTTCTAGAGAATAAATACCCTGATATAATTTAAAATGAGTTTAATTCTTTGAATAAAAAATACAGTACTTAATTAGAAGGTCTTGAATCTAATAAGAAAAGACTTAGTAAAATACCCGATATTCCAGAAAAATCTCTATCAGAAACCAGTAAATCATGCCCGACATGCCGGAATAAAAATAAGGAAAACTAAGAGGATGACGAAAGAAACATCTCTTATTGATTAAACTGTATTATAAAAGAATTCAAGGAGAATCCAGTGTAATTCTATCCAGAATTTAAAGAGATTATGCAGCACTGCCCATATTAGGATCTAAGATATTAAGAATTATAAAATAAAAACTGGGGATTATATTTATAGAGATACTCTCAGTACCCAGAATTCTTGTTACGGACCCCTGCTAGTTAACCTACTAGTAAGGCGGACTCGCCAGGCAGAAAGCGCCGATAAGGACAGCGCTCGGGCAAAACCAAACTGTTATTTAGTACAATCGCGGATTGCCAATACGACGCCCGGAACGGCCTCGCACCACGTGATTACGGTATATGAACGAATACATGGTATACAGCATACCATCATGGTCTATAACTACTATACTGGTATACGGCAGACCCGATGGTATATGATATAGTATACAGAGAATAGGATATATAAGGATACTTACTTATATATTTAATTAATTCTATTCTTCGTACTTAATTCTACTATCTTTAAGTAACTATACGTTTGGAAGCTTAGCTATAGAATACTTATCTATATTTATTTATAAATAACTGCGTGGTACTATTCGGTCTTACTTCTTTTCTCTTATCCACGAACTAGTTGTTTCTTGGATAGTCATCAGTTGATACCATCTTGATGTAGTTCGATGGTATGAATACCAACGGGGCTAAGCTAACTGGGACAGGAAAGCAATCCTAAGGTTTAATATATTAAATACCAGTTAATACAAGTATTCACTGTTATAACTATCTATTATATTAATTACTTCAAACTCGCCACGTACTCCGCAGCAGGGCTCCAGTGCCCAAGAGAGAGAG